TTTGGTTTTCATTGGAAACTGTCTCTTTAAATTTCGAGAAGATCTGTGCGCATGTGTAGTAGAACCCTCCGAGGGTGGGGCTGGGGTACCCACTAGCTCAGGCACCCCTATGGTCACCAGAATGGAGGTGCGCAGACAGCAAGGGACCAATGAACAGATACCAAAAGAAAAAAATGTCCACACCTTTATCTCAGCGGTTCTGCCAGGCATCTGTGGCCGCTCTGATCCTTCCCCTACGTGGTCTCATCCAAGATGGCGGCTCCAGGAGCAGCTGAGTGTCCTGGACTAGAAAGCAATAGATTTCTTGCTTCTGCCACAAATTCCCCAGCTGTGAGCCTTCCAACCTTCTAAGTATTCCTTTATATGTGGTTCAGAGTTCTGGGACCATCTCCTGAGCCTGCTTGGAGGGTATTCTGTGTTGTTGTTGGCGGAGCTCTTTGCTACATGTCCACCCAATCTGCCATCTTGTTTTTTCTCCTAGTGATCTTTTATAAAAATTGGTGGTGGTGGTTATGTGCTGTGGAGTCGGTTCCGACTCATAGTGACCCTGTACAGGGTTTCTGAGGCTGTAACACTTTACAGGAACAGAAAGCCTCATCTTCTCATCTTTCTCCTGTAGAACAGCTGGTAATTTCGAACTACTGACCTTGAAGTTTGCAGCCCAATTCATAACCACTATGCTGCCAGATTTTAGCCAGTGAAAATCAATGATGAAGTAGAGGACCAGTGAAGGTGTGGGAGACTCTTGGGGAGGTGGACTAGCATAGTAGTCACAAGGGTGAACTCGAACATGCTGGCAATTTTGAAGCTGACACAGGACCAGACATTTGGCTCTTTTGTACAAAGGTTATAATGAATTGGAATTGACTCGATAGCAGGTGACAACAAATACCCTTCAAATCTGCTCAAATGTCACTTTCTCAATGAGACCTTCATGGCGCCCACCCCCAGCAATGTTCACCTTAACTTGCTCTTTTTTTTTTTTTTCTTTTTTCCACAGTACCTATCACCTTATAATAGATAATTTACTTGACTATTACGTTTGTTACTGATATTCTGGCTTCCTTCCCTAGAACATAAAACTGCTTTATCTCATTTGTTCAGTGATGAATCAGAATCCAGCACACAAAAGCATTCACTAAATTTTTGATGAATAAGTGGGTCAAATTTTCTGTCCTCCCTTTATTACCTCACCTCTGAATGCATCTTGTCCCCCATTCTGATTCTTAAACCTTACACATTATTTCTCAGTTTCTCTGCACGTGCAAGCGTAAACCCTGCCTATTTAAAATCCATTCCTAAGGGTTCTTCAGAGCTCTTCCACGCAGTGTCTTCCTCCCCCACCTCTATTATGATACTTACTCTCTCCTTCCTCACAGACCTAGAATTCTAAGGACCATGACTCAGTTCACTTTGTATCTTCAAAACCTCTTGCCATCATAGGTGCTTAGTCAATATTTGCTGATTAATCATAATTAATTAGTCATGAATAAAATATTTATCTAAAATCTATAGTAATTTATAATTCATAAAGAAAATCACAATATTTCCCCAAAGGTTATTTTTATATAGAATGTGCATTCCAAAAATGGAAACCAGTGTTTGTTTCTCACCTGTACTATCCATATTTTGAGAAAAGCTTCATTGCCTGACCCACATGTATAACTTGTGGCCCCTCAGCCCTTGGAGGCTTCCACCAAAGTGCTGGCATAGCTGCTTGGACGAGGAACCATCCCAAGACTGTTGGGAACAACAACTCTGTTCCCAAGAGATCTAGTGTCAATTACCACAGTAGCTAGGTAGCCTTACTCATTCACACAAGTTATCATCTTTCTGAAATCTAGCGAATAGTAGCTTTTTATTAAGTTTTTATTCTGTGGTATTTTATGAACATCGACAGGCCAATGTCCTGAATTTATTTTAATGCTATAAATTATTTAAAGATGCCATTGTTACTGCTGGTAACTGCCATCGAGTGGGTTCCGACTCATAGCGACCTATATAGAGCAGCTGATGAGTTTCAACTGCTGACCTTACGGTTAGCAGGCCAGTGCTTATCCTACAGTGCTACATCAGAATCCTGCTTTAAAGATGACTCGTATGTCCTATCAAATCTACTGCAAGGTTGATTTGAACTACAGGGTCAGTGGTTCGAGCTCACCAGCTGCTCCTTGGAAACTCTCTACAGGGTTGCTATGAGTCAGAACTGACTCGATGGCACTTAACAACAACAAAGTCTGTGCTATGAACTGAAGACTGGTAAACCAATAATAACCTAGCAGTACACATATCCAGATTTCCACTGTGAATGGCAGCATTTAACATGAACCACTTTTACTTTGATGCTCTGTTGTTAGTTGCTACTGAGTTAGTTCAATTCATTGACCTCAGAATGAAGCAGTGCCTGATCCTGTACCAGTCTCCTGATTATTGGTGTTCTGGAGTCCATTGTTGTTATTATATCAATCCATCTCATTGAGGTTGTCCCTCATTTTCACTGACCGTCTACTTTACGAAACATGATGTCCTTTACTGTTGCTGTTAAGGGCCGTTGAGTTGGTTCCAACTCTAGCGTGACCCTGTATAGGGTTTCTGAGGAGCAGCTGGTGAGTTTTAACCACAGACCTTGTAGTTGAAACCAACATTGCAGACCCGTGCTTATCCTACAGCGCCATACCACAAGTGTTGTTGAATGCCGCTGAGTCAGTTCCAACTCATAGCAACCCTGTATAGGGTTTCCCAGAAGTACGTGGTGGGTAACACCAGTATTAGCCATTAGTATTTCCTGATGATACATCCAAAGCACGTGAGCCAAAGTCATGTCATTCTCACTTTTAAGGAGTATTCTGTCTGTATTTTTTGTAAGACTCTTATGCAAACATTTTGTAAATCTCAACTGTTACCTCAATTTTGATATTTGTTTTTTAGATCAGAGGTTTTGAAACTGCTTACTGCATTGATAGTATGGGGAAAACAAACGGAGGCTTTGTTGAACTAGGGCCCTGCCACAGGATGGGAGGGAATCAGGTAAATAACCTTACTTTTGTGTTTAAATTGGTCTGCTTTGAGAGCCATCAGGTGTACGAATCATGGAGTTTTAATTTGTTCATTTGGTTTGTTTTGATAAAGTGAAATATTCTTTGAAAATTAACGATGATTGAATTTAAGGAGATGATAGTAAAATGGTTTTCACATATGCAATTAAAAATGTAGAATTATGTCTAAATAGAAGAGATTAAAATACATTCTTGTGAGTTTACATTTGTATCACTACCATAACTGTGTTAGTCTAGCTCCTTAACAGTTTTATTTGCAAATACTGTTCAATAATCCACAAGATTTTTTTCAATAAATGTACACCATAATGCATATTTCAGTAATGTATTGTCTTGTATCCTTATATACGTATTGTCTCTAATTTAGGTTGTGACTTAATTATCTAATCTATTTCCACTGTTTCATTTTTTTTACATTGTTAATACATAATCAATATGTACTAATATCCATTCTATATCTAAGAGGCTAGAGAACACAGATATTTAAGTATTAATAAGGGTCTTCAAGCTAAATATAATTCCTAGCTTTGAACTTATCATTCTGAGCCCACAGAAAAATTATAGAAAAATAAGAAAGTCATTGAGTTCATAAGAATTAAGTTTCTTATATCAGTAGGGAAGATGTTTGTTTTTTTTCTGTTTCTCTTTCTTTTTTCATAGCTTTTCCGAATCAACGAAGCTAATCAACTCATGCAGTATGACCAATGTTTGACAAAGGGTCCTGATGGATCAAAAGTTATGATTACACACTGTAATCTAAATGAATTTAAGGAATGGCAGTACTTCAAGGTATTATGCATTTCAACTCCTTAAATAATATTATACTCTATTTAATTTTTTAAAACACCCAGCATGTAAACTTTAGATGAATAAATCCTAAAACTTCCATTCATATTGACTTACATTTTTCTCTCATTTATTCATTTGTGTAGGTTTTCTAACACAGTGTTACATAGTGAAGCATCACTTTTTATTTTCAGTACAATACTATCATACAATAAAGTCAGGACACCCAGGAAGGCTCACTGGCAATTTTGGTAACAGGAAAATTGGTGTTCCATGAAGCTATAATAGCCACCATTCCAGTACCAAAATCTGTTTTTTTAAAATCTATATGAATAATTCATTAACGTAAGCTATATATACATATTTGGAGTTCTTCTGTGGTGCTGTAAGATAAGCACTGGGCTACTAAGTATAAGGTGAGCAGTTCAAACCCACCAGCCATTCCTCAGGAACTCTATACAGGGTTGCTACAAGTGGGAACCAACTGAATGGCACTTAGCAACAACAACATATACATATTTATACCATAAAAAATATCTGCTTATATTTCATGTCACCCAGCAGGTGGAGATAGAGTCAAATAAATGAAAATGTTGGAAATCTGTGCCTTCACAACTTCCTAGCATTGTTTTCTAACTAAAACAGGGAAAATGTAGCTGTTGTTTGTTTTATAGGTCACATTTAGTTTTTAATTTGGCACTAGATGGAGTTTTTGTATTTCAGTTATATTAAAAGTTCTGTGACAAATGGAAGATTCCAACATATTAATGCATTTATGTATAGTTTCCAAAGTCATATTATTGTTTGTTGTTAAGTAGTTATTAACTGTTTCCCAAATTGGAAATTAGACCTGAGAAATGCTCCTAGTATTTATCTATTAACCAGACCCATTGCCGTCATGTTGGCTCTGACTTCTATAAGCCCTATATTAGCTCATGTAAAAGTGACAATAACCCCATTGCATATTAATATCTAAATAACATCTTCAGTGTGCAATGTTATTTGCAGTTTAGACTCTGAAGCCCTATCAATGAATGTTACATTTTGTCTGTTACATTAAAATCCATTGGTCTATCTCACACTTTGAATAGACTTTGTTTTTTTAATCAGTCTGTGCTTTCATATGCATTGCTCCTTTTGAAAATAATGGTTGACTGACTTATGTAGATCTTTGATATGTTGATACATTTCATAATACAATTTAAAAAAAACAACACACATTAAAGTTTAACCACTGGCCTCATCACAAAAGTCATAACTCTTGTGAAGCAATCAACTTCATGGTCATAAATGTGAGTTTTCCAAAACTCCAATGTTTGCTCGAAAACTCAAATTTTATTAATGGCAACAAATACTACAGATGGGTTTTTGCTTTTTCCTGAAGTGATAGGCAAGTCTGAATAACCCAAATCTGAATAATCATTATTTGTCTATAAGTTTTTCAGGTCAAAATGGTATCCCATGAAGAAAAGTAGCTAGTGCAGCTCACAACACAGTCCTGCATGGGCTTTTCCTCTTGATAGCCGTCATACTCGATCACGCAGCAGAAGTGTTTCATGAGTACTTCCCATTTCATCTCCCAGACTCATATTTTTAAAAGTATACTCATGGGTCAAGATTTAATAAAAGTAATATTTGTTACTGCTTCATGAGGAGTCCTGGTGTGGCACTGTGGACTAATGCACTGGACTGCAAGGTCAATTTGAACTGCAAGGTCAGAGGTTCAAGCACACCAGCCATTCCTCGGAAACCCTATATAGGGTTGCTATGGGTCAGAACCAACTTGACGGCACTTAACAACAACAACTGCTTCATGAACCCACCAGCTACTCCTCAAAAACCCTGTACAGGGTCACTATGAGTCGGAATCGACTCAATGGCACTAGATAACAGCAGCAGCAACTGCTTCACGAAGGACATTCTAAAGTGAAACGGGCATTTGCTGTTTTCACTGTATGTGGCAGTGAGTATGTAGCTCTGTAGGATAAGCAGTGGACTGCTAACTCTAACTGTAAGGTCAGTGGTTCAAACTCACCAGTTGCTCCTCTGAAACCCTGTACAGGGTTACTGTGAGTCAGAACAGACTTGACGGCACTTAACAACAACATACAGCAATTAAAAATACGAGTACTAGCACAGCTTGGTACCACTGCTTAGTGCCCCAGCACTTTTACCCACCATTGCTTTTGTACCTTAAGTATAAATGCCAATACAGTGGGAAAGGCAAGTCAGGTCTTTGTGTTATGAAAATAATTTTGGCCTTACTAACTCCCAAAAAGATCTTGGATAACCCCAGAGGTCCAATGACCATGTTTTGAGAGCCACTGAACTATGAACCCAACAACAGATGATGAGGGATAAAGGTATCTACAGTGTGAATGAGAAAAGATATGTCCAGAGACACTGATTGCTGGAATATGAATGAATGAGGGAAAGTCTAGAGTGAAAATATCTCCATCCTGAGAACTAGGGAACTGGTATTACCATTAGCTAAAATAGGAACTAGAGAAGAAAATTTAGAGAGGAAGATGATTAATTTGCGTTTATATACATTGAATGTGGTAGAAAAAATATGAGGCTTTCTGCTCCCACAAAGATTCACAGCCTCAGAAACTACAGGTCGATGTAAATTGGAACCAACTCGATAGCACTTAACAACAACAATATACATTGAATCTGATGTATGAGCTGTATATTTTAACAATCAAAAGGGATTAGAAGATTAACAATTCAGAAATCCAAAATCTGAAGTTTAGTTGGTATGTGATTGATAAAGTGCTGTTGAGTCAATTACAACTCATAGCTACCCTGTATAGGGTTTCCGAGGAGTGGCTGGTGGATTTGAACCAATGACTTTGTGACTAGCACTCCAGTGCTTATCCTACAGCACCACACCAGGACTCCATGACTGTATAAACTTGTCCAGTTGGTTTAAATTGTCTCTTTATGACTTCTAATGTCAGTGCCATCAAGAGTCCATATTTCAAACTTCTTTTACCTTCTTGTGTTTTCCAGAACTTGCACAGATTTACTCACATTCCTTCAGGAAAGTGCTTAGATCGTTCAGAAGTCCTACATCAAGTGTTCATCTCCAAATGCGACACCAGTAAAACGACACAAAAGTGGGAAATGAATAACATCCATACTGTTTAGAAAGAAAAAAGTAAACAATAACCTACCTACTGACACATAAATTTATACAGGACTGAAAACCGCCTGAAACCTGCTGCAACTATTATTAATTCTGTACAGATCCAGACCCGGAACCTCCTGATCAGTTTGAAGGACATTGATAAACTGTGATTTTACAATAACATTTTCATCTGCAGTTACTGTTTACAAAACTGCTTTTACCTTAAACTTTGTAGATGTTTACATCTTTTTTGTTTTGTCTTGTTTTAAGATGATATTGGTAATTTGTGCATTTAGCTCTGTTTCATTAGGACAGAGTTAAAAGCATTGTCTTCTTTGGGATTACACTCAGGGGTCTGAAAGGCAGTTTGATTTGTTTTCTTTCTTTCGTTTTTAAACACACTTGAAAAAAGGTTGGAGTAACCAGAATTTCATATATAACTTGGTGATTATCAACCTGTTATGTCTTTATTTAATTTTACATCTTTTGAAGTACTGCCACAGGTTACTAGCCAAGGTGGCCTTCCTTCAGTCATGCTGCTTTTTTGAAAGGTGAATTTCAACACATTTAGTGCCTCTTTCATTTCTCAGTATATATTTCAAGAGCTTTTGATGAAATTTATAGGGTGGTTACAATGAACTTATCTATCTGTATGAGGAATACTTTTACTACACAGAAATGAATTTATGTGCTACCATTTACGATAAAGTTGATTATTGTATGGCTTGAAAAAGAAATTACAACATCCCATGGCTATTCATAGGGTTTGACGATTGTGGGGCATTAACTCCCTCACTTCCTGGCATTACCAATGCCTCCTGTTGTTACCAACCCCAAAGATAGCAAAAGGGCATTCCAACATAAGAGCAAAATTATCCACTGACACTTGGGATTCACTTTTCCCAATACCTATCATTTTAGAAAACTAGAAATAATTTGTTTTGAAATTGAAAGAGGGGTGACAAAAATATTACTGTCAACATGTCTAAAGTTCATTCTGATCCTAGGTAAGAATTTCCAAGCCCTGTGACATCAAGTATTATGAAATCCCTGGCATTTTAACCTAAGCAATCTAGGAAGTCAAAAATTAATTGATGTTTCATTTACATCTTTACCCAAATGAAATCTCCTGCATGTTTAAAAAAAAAAAAAAAATTTAAGACTACTTAAGAATAGGCTTCATTAACAATATGAATCACTTTGTTAAGATGGATGTTAATTTCCTAATGTTTAATTTGTTCTTTTTAGGAAGTGTATTTCTTCAGTGAAAAGATTTGGCATTAAATATTTGTCAAGACAGTACTTGTCAAATAAGTTCTCTATAAGAGAACTAAATAGTACAATTAGATTTTAATTTCTATATAGCCTTTTATTATCTATCCAAAACATTAGAAATGCCTAACGTATGAATGCTAAAAACAACAACAGAAACAACTAAGATGGGGAATAGCAAGTAAATTCAGTATTTTTTACCTTGAAATCATGCTATATATAATGAAAGGAATTCACAAACTACTACCAGTGGAAAATATTTTTAATTAAAGCTTAAAAAAGAAAACAACAACAACAACAACAACAACAAAACCCCACCTACATTTGTTTAAAAGAAAAGCCTACAGATTTCTTTCTTCTCAGCTCCTAAATTTGGAGAGTCAAACTTAGCATAATTACATCCTAAATAAGAGAGTTTTATTTATAATTTTGAACTGTCGATTTGTATTTTGCTACTAATCTGTGATCAACCATTTTAACTTTCATTCATCTCTGGAGATATTTAAGAGGAATACATTTATATGCTTATATAATTGTAAAATAAATCAACTATTAAAAAAAGAAACTAAAAGAGAATTGGTACTTTGATTACTTGTGTGTTTGCAAATAGACTCCATTTTCCATGTGATTATTACCTTGATAACTATGCATAGGCCTAAGAAAGGTGGCACATAAACTGTGCATGTAAATCTTAAATGGGTATTTTGTGCAATTCATTTAAAGAAAATACTCTGAGTCTATATATTGAAATCAGAAAACTTAAACCAAACACAAAAAACATCAGAAGCTGCTGCCATAATGACAATTTTCTACTGTAGGCTGCTTTGGAAATAATAATTACCATATCCTTGCTTTGTAAGTTGATAATATCACTATGCATTTCTATACATTTTATAAATTTGATTTATGCAGATTTTGATACACTGTATGTTTCTGTAGAAATTGTATAAATATTCAAAATTTTATTAGGGATAAATTTGAGAAGCTTATGTATATCTTAATTCTGGGTTGCCTGTTTTTTAGATGAGACAAAAATAAAATACTGTATTTTAATCGCTTTTTTCCCAATACTTGTAATCATTTCTAAATCTAAACAGTGAACACTTAACGGTATTTACTTGGTATTATTGTTCACAAGATATGCTAACATAATAATGGTAAATTACTATAAACCACAGTCATAAGTTGTGTACGTAGGTGAGTGTTGATTAGAATTCTACTACATGTGCTCAAAAGGAGCTCTGGTAGCGTAGTGGTTACGAATCGGGCTGC